TAAATTGGGCTTTGTTTTTCAAAACCATCAACAATTTGATGCCGAACAAAAAGATTGCAACTACATTATGTACATGGAATCAATTTTAAAAAAAATCATGTACGTATGTAGGTAGGTATGTAGGTACAATTAATACAAAATTCTACTTGAAATTTTTAATGAAAAGGTTTCCCATTTGGTACAGATATAAATCGTAACTGGCACCATAATTTTTGTTCATTAATAATAATTATGATGCCTTGACCAAGCAAGTTGTTTTCTTTTGAATAATTTAAAAAAATATCTTGGCGTGTGCCTATTTTATGTTTGCGTTCTGTGACAATTAGTTCTTTCAAAAAGTCAAGCAAATTTAGATCAAATTTCAATCTTTTTAATAAGTCTTATTGCTTTTTACTAAATTCAAACGAGTCAAAAAGCACAATTTTTAACACATGAAAAGAAGCTTGCGTCCGTCTGTCTATTTTTCAGAATCTATCCGTCCGTCTATTGTTGAAGCGCTCCTTAGAGAGAGCAAAAAACCGGTTATCTGAAATTTGGCGCCGATACATGTTTGAACGCAAATCCGTATTGAAAATGAACAGATGCATGTTGTATGGAAGATTGGCTTTAAAAAAAAATTCACTAAATAATGGTCATGTGGCATATCGTTAAAAAAGTCTCCGAAATCTCTACAACTTTTGTTTCATAACATCGGTTTGAACTTTTGAACATTGGCTCTGACAAAATTCTTTTAATAAATTAGATTATTTCGATCATGCCAGTTATCGTTGCAAAGGCGGGCATTCTATTTTAACAAAGACCAAAATTAACTGTTTTACATGCTCTTATTGTATACATATTTCTACTTTTCTTTTAATAACAAATAAAAAAGCAGGGCTTACATTTGGAACTATGTGAACTTCAAAATTACAACAAAAGATTAAATGAAATTCTCATCAACTCATTATAAATAAGAAATATGTGAAAAATAGATTGCCATTCATACAAGATTAAATATTATTGTATACCATTCCCATCTATTCCATGTCTATGATCATAAAATTTTCAAATGAATTTAAGCATTAAAGTTCAACAACGGTATTAAACTTTACACTAACACAAATGCATTTGAAAAGTTTTATAGTTATTTTGTTTTTGTTTCTACTATATAAAGCGCGACTTTATTGTGTACAATTAGACATACTATATATGTAGGTAAACCATCTACGTTATATCGTTTTTCGTTGTCAAAGAGCGTTAATAACCTTCCTTCTAATGCATATACACGACAGTAACAACAATAACATTGCTGCATATTATTAAAACAATTTTTTTTTCTTCTCTATATTATTTATTCATTTTAATAATTGTTTTCGTATAGCTTGAAAGTCTTGTTTTCAGGTGATTTTCTGTCTTTTGTTTTTGCTTTTTTCGTTGCAAGCATACCATTATCATGAAATGCAACACAACAATTTATTTTAAATAGTGATCAACACGAGGAAAATACCTATGTAACATGAAAATTAGAGATGAAAAAATATTAATCGTAAATACAGTGGTAGACAAAATTTTTTTACTTTCCAAATGTCTTTTTATAATTAAAATTCAGTAAATCGTTGAAAGATTTAATATTGCTCACAAAAATTCAATCACACATTCGACAACACTTCCTTATTTAAAATAACATTTTGGGACTGAACAACAGTGAGGATTTCATGACTCTTTAATTGCTATTGTATAAGGGCTCTAGGTCAAAGTTTAATAAATTTAGAATAAATTCTGTAACAGTGCTGATAAAAGTATTTACTATAAATATTTAAGTGTTTACAGCCTTGTTATGTATCTCGCTTTGTACTCACTTTCAAATCCTCTAATTATTTCTCATATATTTGATTGATTACTCATTGGATTGGATTGGATATTTGTATTTTTATACGAACATAATGATACTAAATCACATTCTTCTCACTTGGGGAGATACACGATTACGATCTTAAATTTTTCTCGCCTGATTCGATTATCGTAAAACAATTTTCGTATTTGTAGAAATGGAAAGGTAGTACCATTTCATTTTCATCGAAAGTTTTGGTGTCTGAAATCAAATGTTTTAGAAACTCCTACAAAATTATAAATTTAAAATACAGATTTTTCATTATTAAAGAAATTCGACATTGGGCGATTTTACTGCTTCTGTTCTGTATATCAAATTGTGCATACCATGTTTTTTTTTTTGAAAGACATAATTACTATATAAGCTTTACCAATACATAAATTTATGATTAGGACCAGTTTTCTTTCCAATTAAGTTTTTTTTTTTCTGTGTACCTATGTATAATGTTATCCATAAGATTTTAATGTCGATGACTAGATCATTGCTTTATTAATTGAGTTTATTAATTTTTTAACTTTATTCAAAAACAAAAAAATTAACTATTTTAAGTTGATTAAAAAGTTTTTCTTTTCCAATACTTTCACACTATTTATGAAAGATTACAAATATACAGAAAAAGAAATTTTCGATTGTGGTATGCATAAGTACAACTATAAAGATTTTTGAGCTTAAGTTTTAATGTGAAAAATTTCTAAATTTAATTTAGAATTCTTAAATAATGCTGTTTTTTTTTCAATTCTTGGAACATAATTATTTAATTTGGCATCTTTCACAACAAAGCCTTTGAAGCATATGTAGATTTTAATCAACTAGAATTTTCAATATATTATTTTTTCTTTAATTAATCGCATTTATTAGTAATTTTACAATAGTCACTCATCCGCTTAGTAAGAAATGAAATAAAGAATGATGTCCGATTATACGAGTAGTTAATACATAAACAAGATTGCGATATACACGAATGAACGAAAATCATAATTTTTACGTTCTGAAATGGAAGCAATTTAGCATTTTGCCTCTGTTTTTAATATTTTTGAAAATATGTATATGTATTATGTATAAATACATTACAAGTGTTTTAGGTCTAGAAAATCAAAAAATATTTATAAAATTTTGTGTTCTGTTAAAAGAAACTATTGATCTGCTCTTATCAAATTGAAAAAATCTGAAGAGTCGTTTAATCACCTCTGTTAAATATGCAAGCACTTTGTTCAGTACGAAAGCAAAGATTAATTTCTGGCTTACAAAATATTTCCTATTTAAGAAAATTAGAAATCAAGTGCATTTCACATATTTTTCTTTACTTGTGGAACAAATTCATTCCATGCGTTGATACGAAGTTAATTTATTATTTTACAATTTAATTAAAGATTAAAACTTTAAATATGAACCTCCAGCAGTTAGGGAACTTGGAAATGTTACATTTTTTTTATTGAAAATTAAAAAAAAATAATCTAGTTTCAATAATAGTATATTATAGCTTATAAGTATAAATAAATTCATTTATAAATTTGAATATTTTTCCGAATGAATGATTTGTATTAATGTAATTCATTATTGTATTTATGTTCAAGTACGTTCTGTTGTTCACAATTAGGGTTGCCATTAGTTTTTTCTTTAAATTTAAAACATTAGAAGATTGAGTTTAATGAACTATTAAAATACTAAAATAATATTAAAATTTTTCATATATTTAAAATTTTAAACCATTTCAAAAAACCAACAACAAATAAATTTGTTAATTTTCACTATGGAACTAACAATACATTAATAAATTTTAAGATTTTCTGAATTTTAATATGCTGCAAAAAATTATTCAAATTAAAAATTAGCAATGTATCTTAAGAATTAATAAAACGATAAAGAATAGCATTTAAAAATTCAAGAAATTTTTAATTAATTTAATACAATACGTAAACGTAATAGTACATTAACACATTCCCTGTCCGCTGAGCCACATATGGTTCAGGAAACATGCGCTTGATAAGCAATGATACGTTCCTGAGCCATATGTGCGTCAGGAGACATATGAAACTTCTATAGCAAATTATTCGACTGGACCTGGAGGTGCTATCCTATGACTACAAAAAAACAAATTATTCAAAAAACCCTGTTGGACTTGTCGGTCAATTTTGCATTTTTGTATTGGGACAGGGAACGTGTTAAAAAATTTTTAGCCTTTTGAAAACTAAAATATGTAATAAATTTTATATTTTATAACACTAATGAAAATTTTCATTTTAAATGAATATAACATAAAACTAAATAAAATAATAGTTATTTATTTATGAACGATATTGTAAATTCTCATAAATGTTAGCATGCAATAAAATAAGATATATTTTAGTCAAGCGTAGAAAAACTTAATAATATGACAACTCTTATTGCAATTCTGTTCAAAACAATAGACACAAAGTTCACCTATTTACTGGCATTCGTTTTTACATTATGTAAACACATGACAATTTCCAATGTAAAAAGAAAATAATTTTTTTTTTAAAAACAATGAATTATTTATTTAATGTATGTATGTATAGTGTAACCTTGACATCGAGAAAAATTACACTTAAAAAATTATCTATTGTTCATGAATATTTCAAAATCTCACATTCTCTATTACAAAAATTGTAAAAACCTAAAAAGAATCTATAAAAGAAGTTACGAAAGCAAAATACAGGCTCTAAACTTTTATCTATCTTGAGAATTTTCCAAACGAATAAAGATAAATTGAAACAAATACTTAAGGAACTAATTAAAAAATTAGGGGTGTGTAGCTTTTTAATGAAGTTTTTTAATGAATTTTAATGAATAGGTGTGCTTCTGTATCGTTTACTTGCGTGTTGTCATAATTTTGTAATTAAATATAAGTAATCTAAAATTTCAAACAAAAAATTCAAATTTTTAACTTCTTTGCGTAAAAATCATATAAGATTTGACCCTAACTTCAAATGATTTTAGATCGATAGTAATTATTTTCATATTAATTATAGATAATGGAATATTTTTCATAATTGTTTATAATTAAATATTCTGAATCGTTAAGTAATTCACTTATCATATATGAAAATTTTCTAAATTATTTCAAATTCTTTAATTAATTACAATGATTCTTTTATTTTTTTGTTTTTAGATTGATTTATATGTGGATACAGCACGCCCCATTGTAGATAAGGTTTTAGAAGGTTATAATGGTACAATTTTGGCATATGGACAAACTGGTACGGGAAAAACTTATACAATGTCTGGAAATCCTGATTCATTGCAAACAAAAGGAATTATTCCAAATACATTTGCGCATATTTTTGGTCATATAGCTAAAGCTAAGGATAATCAAAAGTAAATTAGTTTTAAAAAATATTTATATAAATTTTGCACAATAATTTAATATTGTTATAACTTTTAGATTTTTGGTCAGAGTGAGTTATATGGAAATATATAATGAAGAAGTTCGTGATTTACTTGCCAAAGATCATAACAAGAATTTAGAAGTAAAGGAAAGAGCTGATATTGGAGTTTTTGTAAAAGATTTAAGCGGATATGTTGTACATAATGCTGATGATTTGGATAATATAATGAAATTGGGTAATAAAAATCGTGTTGTTGGTGCTACAAAAATGAATGTAGAATCATCAAGATCACATGCAATATTTTCAATTACTGTTGAATCAAGTGAAATGGATATGACTGGTGCTCAGCATGTTAAAATGGGTAAATTACAATTAGTAGATTTAGCTGGTTCAGAACGCCAAAGTAAAACTCAAGCTACTGGAATACGTTTAAAAGAAGCTACCAAAATAAATTTATCGCTATCGGTGCTTGGTAATGTTATAAGTGCATTAGTAGATGGAAAAAGTACTCATATTCCATATCGTAATTCCAAATTAACAAGACTACTACAAGATTCACTTGGTGGTAATTCAAAGACCGTTATGGTAAAATTAATATTATAAATAAAAATGTTGATATGACTAATGATAATTTTCTTTTTTTATTTTAGTGTGCTACTATAAGCCCAGCTGATTCGAATTATGTGGAAACTATTTCAACCCTCCGATATGCCAGTCGTGCTAAAAGCATTCAGAATCGTACTCATATTAATGAAGAACCAAAAGACGCTTTACTCCGTCACTTTCAGGAGGAAATCGCAGCACTTAAAAAACAACTCGAAGATGGATTATTTGATCCTGGTTCTGGCGAAGAACTTGATGATATTGAAAACGAAGAAGATGTGGATATTGAAGATGAAGAAAATGACGACGATGAAAAGAAAGATAAACGAAAGAAAAATAATAAAGAAAAAGCAGATGCTGAAAAGGAATTGTTGGAAAAGAAAGCCTTAGAAAATGAACAAGAATTGAACAAAACAAAGTACGCGAAATTTTTAACCCCTACGGGAAACTTCTCAACTTCTCAAATGCTTTTATTTTATTTTTTTCTCTTAGGACCGAACAAGAGCAATTGCGAGCGAAATTGAAATCCTTAGAAACAAAAATCTTGGTTGGTGGTGAAAATTTATTAGAAAAAGCCCAAGCACAAGAAAAATTATTAGAAAATTCCATAGCTGAATTAGAAATGCGAGAGAAAACCGAGGAAATGTTACGTGAAACACTACAGAAGAAGGAGGTAATTAATTATTTCTAATTTATAAATCAAAGAGATAACAAATCTTTTCTAATTCGTAAAATTTTATTTCTTCTATTTTAGACAGAACGTATTGATATAGAAGAACGATATTCAACGTTACAAGAAGAAAATATTGGCAAAACTAAAAAACTTCAAAGGGTTATGCAAATGTTAATGGCTGCAAAAGAAGAATTATCTGATCAGCAACAAGAACATCAAAGGGAAAAAGAGTCTATTTATGACAGCATTAGAAGTTTATCAAGAGAATTAGCTTTATGTGAATTAGTTTTGAATTCATACATTCCAAAAGAATACCAGGTGTTTAGCAATACATCTTCTTTTTTATCATTTTTATATGCCTATCTATAACTTATAACTTCTTAATTTTCTTTTTAGTCGATGATTGAACAACATACACATTGGAATGAAGATATTGGTGAATGGCAATTGAAATGTGTTGCGTACACTGGTAATAATATGCGAAAACATGTTCCTGAGAAAAAAATCAGCGCAAAGGAAGTAAGATGATAACTTACTTACAAAGTAATAAAATAAAAATTTAATTCAAATGAAATTTTAGTCTGAATTTGTTGATTTGTCACATGTTTACCTCAGTTACAATACGGAATCTGTTTCAAATGCAGTTCGAAGTAAATCGGCCGTAAGACCACGTACATCAGGTGTACCACGTCCTACAACATTAGTAAAAAAATACTAGCTACTCTGATCTAGTCCAAAATTCAATGAACTAATCAAAAAAAAATAATATTATATTTATTAATTTATATTGATATGATATTTAAAATGACATTTTAAAAACAGTTTTTAAACAGCCTATTTTTTATTCAGACAAATAAGTTTTTGTTATTTTTGAACAGTTTTTAATTTTATTTAAAATTGTATCCGTCGAAGATGCTTTTTGCTCTATTTTAAAACATACAATATTTAAATTAAAATCTTGTCTTTTGTACTCTTTTATGTGCTAAAGATTTTTAAGTATTTATAAAAAATATCAATTAAAAATTATGTATTTAATTGTGTTTAAATTGTTTAGTTATTCAATACTTTTGGCACAAACTTTATTTGTTATTTATTTTTTGTTCAAACTTTTATAAAATAAATATATAGCTATAATGAAATAAAATTAAAGTTTACAGCATAACATATTTTTTTCTTGAAGGTAGTTAATTAACAACAATTTGACTCATTTTTCGTGTAGAAAAAAATCATAAAATTGTAATTCTAAGCATTTTGTAATTCAAAACTGCTGTTAATTTAAGTATTATAGTTCCACTTTCATTTTATAATATTTTAAACATTGTATCAAGTGATGAAAGTGATCATTATTTTTTATAATAGTGTTGCGAATTTTCTATTATTAGTATCATTTTAAAAAACCGCCATTTCCTGAAACTTAAAATCTGTTGGAAATTTAAATTTTATAAAATATGCAAATTTGTTTTCTTTTAATGTTTAGATAAGCTAATATTTAATTTTTGTTTTCCTTTGGTTCGTAATTACTAAAACTAATGATTAGATTGAGCTCATTGCTCCAAAATTTTATATTGCTGTAGAATCTGAATTACCTTAAGATTAGTAAGTTATAATATAATAAAAATATATATATATATAGTTAGATTATAATTAAATGTATATTTAAGCATATTTATATTTTCTATAATATATAGATAATTTTGGTTGAATTAAATGGGAATATTAGTTGTAAGGATATATTAATGTGTAAGAAATTCGTATTTTGCCATTACCGGGTATATACATAGGTATGCATAGTACATATACGCCAAATATAATAGTACATCTTTATTCTTTACTCAATCTTATGTGATTTGATTGAATAATCAATTTATTATATGATCTACAGATTTGAACATGGTTTTTCAAGTGAATAAATCTCCAATACAAACGTCATTTTTAATTTACTAATTTGTACTTTTTATTTTGTATTCAAAATATTCTAATTTTGCTTAGTATTGAAATTTTGATTTTGACTAGACATTTAAAGTATACACAAATTTCTATTAATTCAAGAATTTAAGGAAATTTGAAATTTCTAAATCAAATTCAAATCTTAAAACATTAAATTCAACATTTAAATAATAAATATAGTAATGTGCTTATTAGCAATGTTTTTAAAGCTAAATATATAAAATTAAATCAATTGATTATGTAAAAATGAACAATTATAAAGGATGACAATATATAAAGTTCATTACCCGTAAGTTAACCGACAAAAAAAAAAGTATTTATGGTTGCAAATACAAACAAAATAAGCAAACATACATTTTGGCTAAAAAAAATAATTTATTAACCCTTAGAATTTAAAATTTGAAGTATAAATATTTTAGGTCCATATAAATGGTTCTATTAAATATCTGGGTATTTAAAACAAAAAACGTACTGTGCAAATGTATGTGTAAAAATGTGTTCGTGTGTAGCCTTACAAGGAGTTTGAAAAATCATCGTCATGACATGAATAAAATCGAAATCTATTAAAAAAGCGAAAAGGAAAAGAACAATACCAAAAATAATAAACATACATACATAACACATATCATGAATTCGTACAAAACATATGTATACAATATTATAATGCTATATTACTATAAAAGAAAAGGGCGACGAACGATACAAAAACAAAAACTGTCTTGCAGCAACGCAATATTTTGGCGACTACATGTCTACCAAAAAAAAAAAACAAAATATTCGAAACAATAAGAAAATTTATAATAACAAAAACAAAGAAACAAGAAAAATGTAGAACCAAAAACATCAAAAAATTTTAATATAGAAACGGTAAAATAAGAGAAAACCAAAAATTGAAAAGGAAAAATGCTACGCAACACCACCCTTACTCTCGTCTATTGAACTCTCAATAAGGCGAGCCATATAGTCTTCACTTCAGTACCTAATACCATTTTCATTAAAAAGGATGGCAGCAGTATAAGTGTAGTAGTTGTAGTTTTGGCAGCAGCAACAGCAGCAACAGTAGCTGCATCAGCAGCAGAGCAATAGCAATTAAATAGCAGTTGTTGAAAATACAACAACAATGCAATTTACTCGCATAATTTTATCTATACAAGTATGTATGTAGTGTAAATATATTATTTTTTTAAATAAATGGGGAGAAAAACGCACAAAATTTTACGTAGTAAATACGTAAATAAATAAAGTAATTTTTTTTTTTTTGTGTTCACGTACGTCTGTACACACAAACACATTCATGTATAATATTAAAAAGAGGATTCTTCTCAATAACCCAAATTTATTAAAACAGCTTCATCATTCTCTAAAAAAAAAAAACACAAAAACAAAAAAATAGTAAAATATAAAAAATTTTCGATTTTCCTTTTACTGTGGGTTTTAAAATCGTGTATAGAATAATATTGTATGTGTATTTATAGATAATATTTATGTATAACGTACATATTATATGTGTGTGTACTTTTAATACACTTTTCACCAAAAATACAAAAACAAAACAATTTTGAATCCTGATCTGAAATATACATGAACAAAATGAAGGAATACGTAGTATATTATAACATATGTATGCACATATATGTATGTACAAGATAGGTGTTATGTTTCAAGATGAAAATTATTGTATAAAATTCATGCAACGCATAATTCATAAAAATTAACTTTAGAGTAAGTAAATCTTATATATACAAAAAATTTGCGAATTCTTTAATGAATTAAAAACAAAAAAAAAACAAAAAGAAAAAATATCGAGGATCCGGTTAAATCGTTATTATATAAAATAGTAAAAATTTTCAAAGCAAAAAAAAGAAAACAAGTAAATAAAGCTTATGCAGCAAGCTTATGTATAAGAATTGTAAAGGAAATTTATCAGTATATACATTCAATAAAAGAGTTTAAGAATCTGTAAAATTTCTTTTAAAATTCCAATGTACATAACACACAAGTATATTTTATAGGTATGCATGTAACCAAAAACCTTATAATCTTTTATACGGTTTTTGATGTAACTCACAGTATCTACCCCAAAAAAAAACATTAATTTATATCAAGACTAAAATATCTTTGTATATGCTATATATTATGTATATTAAGATAGTATCTATGATCTAATATGTTCAGTATTTCTAAGTTTTTACGACATTAATTAAGTAATACCATAAATTTTGTGTAAGTAATTACGCATATTGTATATACATTATTCTCAATAAGAGATGATGATTCTGCATAATTTATTTGTCCTATTTAAATTCTAGTAAAATAATTATTATTTACCCTGATTAAAGTACATATATAATACTTTATATTTTAAATAAAATAGAATTTTAATAATATCTACTTTTGTAATATTTGTGAAAACTTGTTTGGAATACTATGACTTGAATTTATTATTATAAATAATTTTTAGATATATGTAGTTACATTTTATGCAAATATTGTTTAAAATTCAATTATCACAATATAAGATTTTAAAAAAAAATTTAAAATTTAAAGAAATTTTTAAGTTTCAATTAAATGTCTAGATGCTTGACAAGTCGGAATTAATTTTACATATGTTCTAATTAAACTAATTAGCTTATAATTAACTTTTAAATAAGTCCTGTATAACTAACTATTGCACTACCGGTCCAATATACTTTGCATAATAACACGCTTGTCATTTCTTCTCTTTCTTAAAAATATTTTATTTTGTTTTCCCAAGTCTTCTACGAGTATTATTTTTATATAATGTTCTTTAATTATTAATTTTATCAATATTTTGTCTATATAATATATTTATATTCTCATAATCTTGTTAATAACCTTAAAAATTCTCATAATTTCTTCAATAAAATAATTCTCATAAAATTCTACTTATAGTTTTTATATAATATTATTAAATTGTATCCAATAATTTATAATAATATTTAATAAATTTTTAAAAATTACTATTATACGAGTATAATTGTTTAGTAAAATGCAATTACCAATCAAAATAATTACTTATTGTAAGAATTACGATTTATTTAAAATTACAACATTAAATTATATATTGTAAGAATTAAATGGAGAATAGAAATTCATTTTCATTTAATTAAATAAAATAAATTTAGTAAATCTATTAAATAATTATATTTTTAATATAATAATATAAATATTTTTATAAATTACGGCTTATTTTTTAAATAAAAATAAAATATTATTAAATAATAATTATATTATCGTATATAAATATTATATATCGTATATAAATATTATTTTTTTTTTTTGTCCCTCAATTTTTATATAATATTAATTTAATATATAGCATAATATTTACTCTACTACATGCTATCTACATCTAACAAGTTACTAAAATAATACAAGATTTAAAAAAATTTCAAATATTTTAAATTTGCTGACATTATAACATTATTTTTATATATACTTTCATATAGTTATATTACTATATATATGTATATACATTTAAGTAAATAAATATGAACTTTTTAATATAAATTTATTCTTATATTCTTATATCCAATCATATATAAAAAGCAAAGTATAATAGTACAATTACTCTAATAATACAAACATGCATACATACACTCATATATTATACTCAATATTATATGAGCTAAATGAAAATTTATTTTAATAAAATTAATAGTATTTGAAAATTATATTCCATTTAGAATATTCGACAAACTAAAGCAAAAAAAAAAAAAACTGAAGAAAAAAAATAAATAAAATTAAAATAATAAAAGTAAAGTAAAGAAAAGATTTCTTTTTATTATATTGGTCCTTGAGGGCAAAATAAAATTATTTTGTAGGACAGAAAATTTTCTTTCATTTATTCCTTATTATATTTACTTTCATTTCTTTATTCATTCTTCATTATTCTTTAAACCATTTTCTTTCGTTCTTACATTTTTTTCTTCTCTTTTTCTCTATAATATTCTTATTTATACCCTCTCATCATCACCCACTATTATATTCTTTTTCCACCCTGTTTTTCTTAATGTTCTATAACCATTTTTTTTTTTGCTTTTTCTTTAAAATACAAAAATGCTATTTATACACAAACAAATATATCTGGATGTATGTATGTATTTATATATATGATGATGATAAA